GGGCGCCGGATTTGAAATGGAATACGTTATTGAATGTATTTCTATGTATAAAAACGTTACAGAAGTTATAAAATTTGACTTCAATTGTCCTTTAAGGCAACTAAACTGGTTAAAACATCAATAATGTTTCCACATCGTATAATTGGATGTACCGCATGTGGTATAACCCGAGGGATGCAATTAATCTCGCTAATACATCAACGCCGGAGTGACGTGATGTTCACCAGTTGGTATTTAATTATACGTGATTACACATAGACATGATCGAGGCTATGTATCAATCTTATGTAGGCATGTGTGATTGCCCTTGTTAAATAGGTGAGCTGAAAGCTGACATTTTTCGGACGAGAAACCCCGAGTAATTGATATGCGTGCGTCAATGCCACTAGATGCCAATTGTCGTAATTAAAACCAAACTTGATCTCGACTCGACTCGCTTATACCCCCTTCACATTACGAGTCCTTACGGATCGCCAACTCGTAGTCAATCGCAATCATCCGTAAATAACTTGCTGGTATCCGTATTAACTCGTCACAACTCGCAGACACTCGTAAGGATCCGTGAAAGAAGAGGCAAATTTTTTGACATGTCAAAAACTTTCTCACGAGTGTCCACGGATTGATTTTTTTCCGTAAATAACTCGTAACAATCCGTAAGTATCGTAAACCGCTCGCAACAACACGTAACCATCCTTAAACTGCTCGCAAGAATCGGTAAATGACTCGTAACAATTTTTGTTACGATTTGCTATGGTTAGTTTACGATTTGTTTACGGATTATTTACGGATTATAACGAGTGCTTACGTGTTGTTTACGATTTCATTCGGGTCGTGTTACGATGGCTTTACGGATTGTTACGAGTTATTACGAGCAATTTACGAATAGATACGTATACTTTACGTATTATTACGTATTGTTTACGATTTGGGAAAGGCTGCAAAATCGAACACGTCATTTTCAGTTGTTATCAAGAGTTGTTCGCTCATATGCCATGTTGTCTCTCTGGATGTCAATTGATGATAGATTGAAATTTGCGGGTGATACTCCATTAGGAGTGTTCCCAACTTTAATGTCATTAATGATCATAATAACATATATATATATATAATATATATATATAATATATAATATATATATATAATATATATATATATTATACTGATATATATATATATATATATGGTCATGGTCATATATTAGTTTGTGGTTTTAATGTCATTTCGGTTAGGGTTAGGGTTAGGGTTTGGATTATCAATCATTAATCATTAATGATATCAAAGTTGGGAACACTCATAATGGAGCGTTAGCCAGATTTGCAGGATTTTTATATACTTTTTGCCAAAAAATCGTAAGGACTCGTAAATACTCGTAACTAACTCGTACCTATTCGTAACAACACGTAAACAGGTCGCAACTAACACGTAAAAGCTTCGATGAATCGTAATAAATCCGTAACAATCCGTAAAAGATCGTAAGTTGCTCGTAGTTATCCGTGACAACTCTTAACAAATCGTGGAATTTTGCCGTAAATACATCGTAATAACTCGTAATAATCCGTAATAAACCGTAATTAGCTCGTAAAAGTGGCCAACTCGTAAGAATCCGTGTACTTTTACGAATTGTGCGATCCGTAAGGACTCGTAAGAAAAATCCGTGTATGTGAAGGGGGTATTAGGCGAAAAACCGAACCGGTCCTGAAATTATGTTCGCGTGGCTAGCTTCCCGAAAATGCGCAAACCATTGGCTCTGCACTGTTGTACCGCGCGCTGTAATAACAGCCATAGCATGCTGTTTGTTATATGTACATATTTGAAGAAAAAAATACTCTGCGTGTAAAAATGTATTTATGGTAAGGCAACACACGCCTACACGCCCACACGCACGTGCGCGTTGACAGTCGTCCTAACCCAGATAAAACATTCTGGCTTGCATTTTGGCGATACATGTAAAACATGAGTTTGTTTACCAATAGAGGGCACCACCGTCCTACTGATGGCCTGATAAAAGAACATTGATGCATAATTACTCTTGATAATTACTTACTGAACTCGACTACATTCTCAACAGAAAAGAAGTCTTACAATTATATTTAGTATTAGTGGATCACCTTGATACTCGGTCAAGTTAATTTAGCAGCTATATTTCTTTGTTTATAATTGCTATTAGTTCTCATTCATGTTGCTAGTCTCACAGCTACATATATTTCCCATCTGGTTAGTGCAGCGTTTGCGCATTGACATTCCTATGCGAAATTATCACACTGTTATTCCATCACAGTCGTGGGCATCCACTCACGCGTATGTGCGTTTTTCTTTGTAGCTTTAAAGTTGAATACAATATATAATATAATTAAAAAGCAAGCCTCGTATTTCAGGCTCCGGCAAATGACTACTTTCTGATAATCAATTCATTCCAATCATTTTTATACACGGAATTAGACGTTATTTACAAGAAGGTCCTAGCGTGGAATCAGCGGAAACTATACGTAGGCCCTTATATTGATATGCACCTATGTATTTCAAAACGAATCTCATCCCCTATTTTGAAAGAGACGAACTTCTCTTGCCTATTTTTTCGGCTTCAGCTATTATAAGTGTTTCCGTTATTCAGGGATGTAAAATTGTCGGCTGGTTTTCGTGCGTTTCAGCATCAGTATGAAGCGCATAGCGCCGCCGCCGCCACCGCCGACGTCGACGCTGAAGAAGGCGCAGAGCAATGGCGACGTCTACTCTCCGCTCAACTACGACGACGCCTTCCCCGACGACGAGAACATGAACGAACTCAGCACGAAGATGCAGCTGACCGTGGTGCTACCTGGCGGCAAGAGACGCTCGATGAGCGTAGATACCGGGTGAGTGTCCGCGCGGCATCGTGCGGTTCATCAATGCTAGAGAAACGAAGAGATGACGTCCTAGACTGACTCTATAAGTGATGGAGAGCTAACGCCGACTGCAACCGGGGCTTCTGGAAGCAGTCTAGCGAGTTCCTATAGAATCTATATCCGTGCGAAATACGTGCGCGAGCATTCTCGGTTATTGTTTGGGTTGTAATTCACGTAAAATCCTCAGTTCGGTGTGAAAAATAATAAATCTGTCGAATAATTAAGTTGAACAATTTTGAGATGATTTTAGATGTATCAGTAAATTATCGTGGCGAGTGACGCCGAATCCGGTTAATATTTTGCTATATTTCTTTACTAAAAATCCTACAACGTTGCTAGCCTTACAGACTATTGTGGCAATGTTTCGTATAAATAGTATACGGGTTATCTCCCCAGCATCATGAAAACAACGATATCCAGGATATATATAATTAATTTCTTAAAAAAGATAATAATAATCAGATTATTACCTTCCTTACGCGTAAAATTCAAATCGAAGAATGCTGAACGCGCTGCGAGGTAAAGCCTGTGGTTTAGACGGGGCTGTAGCTAACCTGTTTTGGGGTGTAGCAGAGATTCCACCCGCACGCGTGACTTTGGGCTGACACGGAGATTCCACGCGCCGGCTGCTGCTATAATTAAGCGAAACCTCGGTCTGCCGTCCTTGAGTGCCTGGCGATTACAGTGATACCCAGCAATGAGCTGAAACAGCACCTTTCACAGTCTCTCAGCAGCTCATCATCGAAATTACGTACTATCACACAATTAACTCACTCCCGCGCGCGAAATTATAGATATTTGTCGGCAAGTGGGCAAATTTCCTGTATTCTATCGAGAGCGCCCGTTGCTTATTTGCGGTGGGCACGTCATCGCGAGTGGCTGACAGGAGTGAGTTGATTTACGTGTGACTCGGTAGGCACGTAGCCATAACGATAACGTAACCCCTGAGTTGAAGTCATACGCGCATACTATAACGTTCACGACCAGATTTATACGAATTATTTTAATACGAGCCACCAAGCTATTTGTCCAGACCTCTTCGGAAATAAAACAGAGATGGATTTCAAAAAAAGCTCGCCAACGTCAAAAGACTTTGGCAAGGCACGAGCATTAAATCGAATGCGACAGCAATTCAGTATTTGCAGCAATCTTCCTCAATCACTTTTTAAATTTTTTAGCGCATTTTAATAGTGACACTTTGTGATATTAGGTGAGTATAATACAGTATGCCATTATGAGAATATAATAGGTAAGTGGAATACGGCGGACATCATGACTACGATCGATTGTATATTGTAATGATTGTGCAATTATGCACACAATGTGTAAGCAAATATACGAGCATTGACTTAATTAGGTTACTTGATTGGTTTAAATAAATGATTGTCAATAGGTTAAATGTACTGTAGGTGTCGATATGTGTGTGAGCGTGCGTGCTTACGGGTGCTCGTGTTATTATGCATGCATGCGTATATGTATATGTATATATATATATATATTCATGTATAATATATCCAGGCGGTGAAATTGCATTTTTTCGTCGTGTAACTGAATAAATGCAAGACCGTGGTGATTTATTATCCGTGCTGTACGGCTGTACACGCAAGCTAAATCATGTTCATTAGTAGTCTACCCAAGTAGGGCTCATAAATATATATATATATATATATATATATATATACATCATATATATTTCCAATTTATATAATCAAACTATTTCCCTATTCCCCTATTCCCTATTTCCCTATTATCTACTTCTGATATATATTGTCTTCAGTCTTCACGAAAATCTTTTGAGCCACTTGCCCGAATGACATTCTATTTGCTCATATATTTTGCAGGAATGCTTTTGGAATATCGAGAAAAGAAGTGTACACCAGACAACTTCTAGACGTCATTCGTTTCCGGTGTTAACATTTCGTGATTTTAAATTAAAAACCTTTTGTTAAAGTGCATTTTTAAAGCAGGAACCTGTCGGGCAAGTGAGCTTGCAATGTTTACATGCCCGCCAAGATTTCTACACGTCTCGGGCGTCGGACACCCGGCTAAATTCGAAGACTGAATAGATATATATCTGATTATGTATAGATCAGTGACTCGAACCCGTTAGTACGCATTTTTACCTGTAGCCTGCGATAGATGGCGGAGATGGATCGGGGGCTTGGCATGGCAGTGAGAGAAGCCATCGCGTGTCAAGCACGATCGTACGTGTGAAGATATGCGTAACGCGCACGGACCGCTGATCGGTATCGAGAGATGTGGTCGTGCGGCCCGAAATGGTGCCGGCCATTTAATGTATTATGCCCAACAACATTCTCGATAGAACTCGCCTCCCAACCCGATCTACATAAGTGCTAATTCTCGTAATTCATACATCATAATTTCTCAACCCAACGCCACGTACTCTTTCGCTCGTACTCTCTGTGAGAGAATGCTGCCTGGTGTGACCTGCTAGTATATATATGCGTGTCGCTGGTATATGCGAGCGTGTCGCCCCATGACTCTGCCGTAACTCCGCCGTTACTCCGGCGTGACATTTTCGTGACCCTGCCGTGACTTTCCTATGATTCCGCCGAGATTCTGCCGTAAAGGGCCGGACACACTAGGCGATTAAATCGGGCGATTACATCGGGCGACAAAATCCGATTCTATCGCGCGAGTCGAGTGGACACACTAGGCGATTAAATCGGGCGATTAAATCGCCGGTGAATAAGTCGTGCATGCATGTGCATGTAGACGTGCGTGCGTGCGTGTGCACGTACACCTGCGTGCATTTATGCGTGCGTGCGTGTGTATGTAAACGTACGTGCATGCGTGCGTGTGTGTGTGCGTGTGTGCGTGCGTGCGTGCATGTGTGCGTGTGCACGTACACGTGCGTGCATGAGTGTGTGCGTGCGTGTGCACGTACACATGCGTACGTTCGTGCGTGCATCGCTATTACATGACATGACATACTAAACATAAAACATCGCTATTTCGTATGAACAAGTACAGTATCATTAAACAACTCTGATTGGCTTGTACAATCGGGCGATGTTATCGCCGGCCGCGGACACACTAGGCGATTGCATCGGGCGATGAAATCGGGCGATGAAATCGGGCGATAATATCAAACCGTTTTGATCTGTGCGATGGCATCGGGCGATGACATCGGGCGATGAAATCGGCGGCGATTGAGTGGACACACTAGGCGATTTCACGGCGATTACATAGCCCGATGTAATCGCCCGATGCAATCGCCTGGTGTGTCCGGCCCTTAACCGCGTCGTTACTCCGGCGTGACTTTTTCGTGACCATATCGTGACTCTGCCGTGACTTCGGCGTGACTCCGCCGTTACGCCGGCGTGAATTTTTCTTGACCCTGCTGCGACTTTCCTGTGCGGCGTGACTCCGCAATTACTCCGGCGTGACTTTTTCGTGACCCTGCCATGACTTTCCTGTGGCTCTGCCGTGACTCCGGCGTGAATTTTTCGTGACCCTGTTGTGACTTTTTTGTGGCTCTGCCGTGACTACGGCGTGACTTTTTCATGACCCTGCTGTGACTTTCCCGTGACTCCGGCGTGACTGTGCCGTGACTGCGGCGTGCGGCAGCTTGCGTTCGTGTTCGTAACCCCCACGCCGTGCGAGCGAGCGTGAACGCCGCATTGCAATTACCGGTTACTGATTGCAGCGGAGGCAGTCGGGAAGAGTCCGAGTCGCTACTACGTACGAGAGTACGTAAGTTCCACTACGTACCACCTTTATTTGTGCGGGCGTCGTTTGTCGGCAGTCGGCTGTAGTCGGCGGCAGTCAGGGAGAGTCCGAGTCTATAAGGTTCCGCTACGTACGTACGACGTTTATTTGTGCGGGCGTCGTTTGTCGGCAGTCGGCTGTAGTCGGCGGCAGTCAGGGAGAGTCCGAGTCTATAAGGTTCCGCTACGTACGTACGACGTTTATTTGTGCGGGCGTCGTTTGTCGGCAGCCGGCTCTAATCACTCCTCGGCTAATTGAAATGCTATTAAGGCAGCGATTGCGGCCCGCGGTGTTGTTTCAGTGTCGATTTGCACGCTTCGTCGCCGAGCGTCAAACGGTAATTCGCGCAGTTTAGGCGAGGCGGTTATGTAAGCGAAGTGACCAACGTGCGAGTGATATATGCTTCGGTATTAAATTACAAACGCGCACACGCGCACGCACGCACACCCATTCACACACACGCACACACCCACGCACGCACGCGCACACACTTCGCACCACCACGCGAGCATAAGGCACAGCTGAGCCTACCAAACATTCACACGGTAGCTGCAGACACTTCTAAATCAATCGACTCAGTCAAGTAAGACTGCAAATGTCATGAGAAACTCACCGCATATAGTGAGTGTATCACCGCGCGAACGCGCGTGCACACAACCAACATTGAAATGTTGATCAAGTATAGTTATTGCCAGCTTTCGGCAGACACTCGGTCAATACAGTATTCCTTTGCAATCTGGTACATCTGTGACTGTTGCTGGCTTCACTCGTATATAAATATCTCGTTATGTATATGCAGTGCTGCATCTCCGAAACCCCATTAGCATTGATTAACACTGAATCCTTTTGATACATTGAACTATATACAGGTACATCATGTAGTATTGTACATGATGCGTACTGAGCTGTCCCCGTACACAGTCAAACAGACAGCTCGCAGGGAGTAACTGCGTATCATCGATCAGGATTGAATAAAAACAAATGTGTTTATTCGCTGCTATATTAGGATGGTGTTGGGTGGCGATCGCAGACGACGCGCCGCGGGGTTTACCTTGTAAGCACTGTAGAGGTTTTAGCGATTTTACAACCGTGCTACGTTGTATACTTAGCACGGTTTACTGCGTATGCGTACAGGTATGTACACGTTGAAGCTGGCGCATAAATGACGCACAAACTAACACAAATTGCAGTCGACCATACTGGAGAGGAGCGGTGAGACGGCGTCGCGTCAAACGTCG